GTCTGCTATTGGCGAAACGTAAGCACAGCGAAGTACTTCTGTGTGCGCCTCTTCACGTACTTTGTCTTTCGTCCTAGATAAGCTAGGTTAAAAACTTTTGTGCTTACTCATTTAATGCAGTACAGCCTAGTTGGTTTTTGTTTCTTCTATAGCGGCTTTATAAAAAGATGAATTTGTGAAATGCGATTTATACAACAAGTCTGAAACCAGCCTTCTCGTTCAGCAGTGGTCCCCATTTTTTCCGATCAGTGATACGCTTCGTAAACGATACGTACTTAATCAACTATCAGAATACATGTACGGTTCTTCTATCTGGATGCATGTTCTGCTTTTGGCAAAGATTCCTTGTTTCAGCGCGGTAAAATTTTGCAGGATCGAAAGCCGGCGGAGCACTTGACCGCGGACAGATACTCTATACTATTTCTAGCAGTAATCGGACTGCGGATTTAAACTACCCGCAGATATATATATGTACAATTTTTTTGCAATGATGGATTTGCTTGTAAATCACGATTCTGTTCTTAATAGAGTTGAAAGCAAAACTGCACCTTCATTTACGTGTGTGATGCCTAAGGTCGTTTTTCTTTTCTATATATGTATGAGAGCCATATGTTGGTTGTATTACCGCCGCCGTCTCCTGCATGATTGACATGTTTTAATGTGGCGTTGAATGATTTGTTCTTCTGTCGCTTTTGTTTCTTGTTTCCGGCTGTAAAAACTCATCTGTCTACGATTATCTGTTGGCATGTCCGGATCATTTCATTCTGCGTATTTAGTGGACGCGTACTTGTCTATGCACATATCTGCACGTACGTCTACTTCAGTGACACGCTAGCAGGTAGTGTTATACATATGAGAACGTTCAGAGTGTGTCGCAAACAGTCGTCGACCCCTCATTCATCCGGTAAAAGAGCTAGCAATGCTTGAAGCGGTAGCCATATCCGTCGTACCACGCTGACGGCGATACAGTATAAATGTATAGCAGTAACAGCAGGAGTTGTTCGACGTTCTAGTCCATGCACCGTAGTCGTATGCACCTTAAGCTGGCGTTACCGTCGCACTGCCGCAGCTGTCACTATTAAAAGAAGTGGCAGCGGAAATAGACTTGGTGGAAGAAATGATAAATGAAAAATTATCTTTTCTGATAGAAGCTACACTTGTCCCAAGTGCCTCGGGAAATTGGTGGACACATTTGGTCTCGGTGGAGCAGGAGAAAGACATGTAAGGAGCTTAGAGGATGCTCAAAGACGTGGTAAAGCTACAGAACAAATTCGCGACGAGGTGGTAACAGAATAGGGGAGCAAGAGCTTTGTGATCTTTCTGCTCGAAAGCTTGTCAACGCTAGAGACAGACGGTGGTCGTCACGGTGCTATACGAGCTACAACAATTTACTGTTAAGCAAGTTGGCCAGCTAAGGTATAGTATCTGCTTGAGCCAGCTCGAAAAGAAATCGAGATTAACTTGACAATGTTTTCGCGAATGGTACGTACATGAAAATTGAGGATCCAGATCCAGATGTTGGTTTCGTGTCGATTCCTGTAACCTCTAAGAGCAGGTTCCACATTGTTTTCAATTTAGGTCGTTCAAAAAGCAGGAAGTGACATAGAAATGGGAAAGACTTACACTCGCAACGTAGAAATACAAACAGCTTAGGAACTATGTAAAATAGTTCGAATGCACGATTTCGGCTATTTCTTTATAATGATCCAGAGTCTGTATTTGGACTTGTACTTTAATGATCTACGGTTGCGAAGGTCAGAAATAATATCTGTTAGAAAGACACTAGATTTTCTCAGATAAGCAATGTTTTTCAAATGTCATGCTAAATATTCTAGTTAGTTTTGCTGGCTCTATCATAGAGCTGATTTGCTTACATTAGTAGAACTATTAATAATACTTTGACATCGATAGCAGTCAGTAACCCGGGCGAAAACCTCCAAATTAAATTAATGAATGCAATGAGATTCAGTGCGGTCAAACATCAGGTAACGTTGATCTGAGAATCTGGAACGTACCAATTCATTTTAGTTCCGCAGCCGGCATGTGTCAGCAAAGGTTTTCGTGTTTCTAAGCTGCTGTTTTTTTCTACACTCCACTGCTTTTGGGTCTGATCAGGTTTTGCGTCAGTTACGAAGTGCTGAACAGAACGCACTGGAGCCTTTCGTAAGCCGTCGTAAAGTAGTGGGCTATGCGAGATTTCAGTAAACCATAGTTAGCAACCATGTAGCATGATAGAAATCTATTCAAAATTGTTTACGCATCTACTGAAGACAGCTTTTTAAAGGGAGACTGATTTTTCGAGCGAGACTAAAAAATTTTGCTTTGCAAGCTTTTTGCTGGTTCCGTAACGGAAGACCGGAAAAATAGGATTAATCACGAACTACTGCAAAATCCCTCATAATTGTATCTGTGTGGCAGTCAACGACGCATTTGGTCGACTTTATAAGAAGTTATTGTGTGGCTCCTCACGTATTTACACACAACCACGGCCATTAATCACACCGTGAAACTAACACTCTCTGCTGTTTCTGTATCACAATAAAAAATCATGGATAGGATGAAAAAATACAATATGTCTACAGAATTCCGTAGTTGTAGACCACATGCTTACGGTACGATGTAAGTGCCAAATTAATTTATTTTAGTCAATTTTGGTATCTACCAATATCACAAACTGCTTTCCAGTCCAATAGTTTAAAGCAACTTTACAGACAACTTTCTAAAAGCCGCGCTGTTAATTCAAGGTCGCTCGAGGCGTCTCAGGATCCGACCTGGTCATGAATGCGCAAGCTGTGGAATTGAGCAGCTGAATAATTAAAAGCCAACACATTGCATACAAATAGAAAAATGGAAAAAAAAGAGGAATCACCAGTATCTTTTTAGGACATTGTCGGTTACTGTACAGAAATTAAAAGGGTCAACACGAGGCGGAGTCGCGCGAACAAGTGTAATTTGTCAATCGCATTATAAGACCAAAGACGAGTCCAATTTTGTTTATAGAGCAAAGTAGCCAAAAATATATCCTTTTAGAAATATCTAGCTGTTCTGTAAGTGTACTATATAAAAAGTGATGTGGCGCACTTGATTTAGAAGAGGACAGAAAAAGCAGAATAGCCAGGCGAGTTCAGAACCTTTCTGAACACTCAAGACGCGGTCTGAGCTCCCAGAGGAATTGAAAGCAAAAACTTGTCCGCATCTCTACAGCAGCAGCTGTGGTTCCTGAACGATAGATATGTCTAGACAGGACTGATGGGCGGACGCCATCTTGAAAGGTCTTCGGAGACGACCTTCACTAAACTGTAACTGTGCTGAAAAATGTGTATAGGCTTAGCTTGGCCGATTTGCAATCTAAATCCGAATGAAATTAGTTGATCTTAATATATGAGATATGGACGCTGAACAGGAGAAAAGCTGCTCGCTAAGTTAATTTAACGATAACAGTCATGATATATTATATTAAAAGTAGCATACTTGTGGGCATTTTATTTTTGAGCTTCATAGTACTTGAGGGGGCTAAATGCAGCTATATTCGGAACTCTTCCAATCGTTGGAGAGGAACATGTATAAGGAGATAGCTTGAGGCTCTTATGAATCAATTCAATTTTTCGAATTGGTCCGTTTAATAAAATAATCGTACTATGTAATAATTTTCTTCAGTATTAGTGTCGTCACGCGTAATTCACTCGTTTCATGCTTATGCCTTGGCAAGACGTCCACAATTCCGCGTCCATCCTAGCTAGCAACTAAAATTCATTGATTTCAGCGTTTGTATTATAGTCGATAGCCCCGGGCCAACGAAAACTAGCTTCCCTTTCTACGAATCGACCCCAAACCACGCATGTGCTATGGAAGATCCGTATTGCACTTCCGTACTGAGTAAAGCCTCCCTTCTAGTTTTCAAGGAGCTGACGGATGAAGAATGCAGTTAAAGGACAAAGGAGGATGTTAGGATAGAAACTCATGTCCGTAAATAGTATCCTCCTCCCCTGTCCGGTTTTACGTGCGAACAAACGCAACGTGCTATTTTCGCCTCAGGGGAACTGGGATTGGGTGGAGACAGTGGAGAGCAGGTCACCCGGTATCATCACTCCATTTGTTCGTTACAAGCCTCTCTGTGAGTGAGTGTCCTTGAACGTGTTGAACAAGGTGAAAGGCCAAAGGATGGCTACATGCAGATGGTGCTGGCGATGATGTTGCTTACGTGATGTTAAGTGGTGTTAGAAGCATAGGCGGCCTGCACGTTAGAGTAAAAAAAGAAACGAGATAAGGTAAAGGACAAATAAAAATAAAGGCCTTTAGAAAAATCCGAGAAACAGGGAGACCTTGAAGATTACACGGATATTCTAAACAACTGTGAAGAGAAACATCTCTAAAATAGAATTAACTTATGGCGGCTTTATTTACTATATGCTACCTGTGACACTTGATTGACAGTCGAATATTTTAATTGAATGATTATAAACACAGTAATAAATTGTATCCTAGAATGTGAAATTATTGTGTCTATGATAACTATGCTATTCGAATAACTATATATGCTTGCTATAATGTCCCTGTGTGGGGTGTACCACTTCAAACCCCGCCAACGATATAAATATTACACGATTTGTGTGAATAACGATAGTTTATATGCCATGGCCAGCCGTGAGGATTTATGCTCGTTTTTTTTGCCCTTCTTTTCGTCTGCTAAGACCGCACGTTAATCTGATGAATACTATAATATTTTACTATGTAGATGTTTTTACAGAAATCTTGCAAGTTACGGAGACTAAGCCAATCTGAGTAACAGGCGCAAGCGGTGACCACTTATGAAAGTCAATAGAAAACTTTACAGAAAATATTCCTGCAACGAAAAACTACAAACATGCTGAACATAATGATAAATATTGTTTTGATTGTTCATAGCATTTTTATCAAAATGTCCAGGGTTTAGTATACACAAGAGATAAAAAAAAATACAAAAATTAGAAGTTCCGGCGAAAGGTGAAGTTCGACGAAATGATATTATGTATTTTAAGCTTTTACCCTACCAAGACTCGTATCGTACAGTCCGAAAGGGTTCATAGACAGTAAAATGTGAAAAGACATAACAATATGGTACAAAAAAGGTACGTATTTCATAAACATTTACTAGGCCCTTAACCCATGCAGTTTTTCTAGAAGCGATACCGTCAGCCACACCACAAAACGTTCACTTATCGCTCCAAATGCCAGTTACTTCGCCACTTGCTTTTTTGATATGATGACGTGATGGTGGATATAGTAAAATTGGTTCTAATTCGTTCTTCCACCGCACAGTTCTCGTTGCTATGAATAGATATACCTTATTATTATTATGACCAGCTGACGTCAGATTGATATAATGGCACCGTTTCGCTTTTCAAATCTTCCCGCTCAAATATCATGTATACTCTGTAACGTCAACTAAGGGATTGCTTCCTCATTGAGCAGACGGATTTTGGGGGCCCAACCAGAGTGAGTAACAACCTGTTGATCGCTTGTTGGTCGTTTGAGTCTGTGCGCGCCAGCCGCTGGGAGTAGTGCTCACGTCTCCGTTTCTTCATAACTCCTTTTTTCACGTAAGTATCTTGTAACTGAGCCCAAGGCTCAAGGTCGTACCGCTCACGGTGTTAATTTTGATAGCAAACTCGGGCGAAAAGCCATCGCATTGTTTGTAACATTGGCGCCAAGTCAGCGTCCCTCTCTGCCAGTCTACCAAAGCCAGCCCACTGTAGAACCCGCGACTGCTAGCCGGCTGCAATTGTTTGGAAAATACCAGGTGAGATCGTAATGGTAACCCTTTTTCAGCTTGTGATTATTTGCTCTTACAATCATCTATTATCCTAGGCTATGCTCTGTATCGCGACAGGCGTATTCGGTGATTTTGCGGGCCCAAATATAGTTTATAAAAGTATTAAATTTTGAATTTAAAGATATTCTAAGTAATGTTTTTTTTTATCAATGTCTGTAATACTAAATGCAAATTCTCCTACTACAGAGTAAATTATTTTTCATGATAATTTTGTTAATTCGTTTGAGCTCACTCTTCTCATGGCTTCCTGTCTGACAGTGAACCACCTAATAGACAAATTTGTTCCACAGGACATTATGCTGGATTATATGTTAGCATTTTCATGTTTACTTCTATTTACACCTATCAGAAAAAGCAGGGTCGGTTGCATATGGCTGACTTGCCACAATGCACTCTCTAATCGACAACGATAGCGGACATTTATTTGCTATTGACGGGGGTCCGATGGATGGCGTTGCGTCCATGTTGACTGTAAAAAGGGAAACGTTTCTTCCGTAAGGAACGTATCAAGACGATCATGATGAAGATATGATGAACGAGCAGATGGACAGCTTGAGGCGCTCGTACAAACGCTATTGCCCTATTGCAGTAATATTGTTTGCGGTTATGACGTCCAAGTAGTCAACTGTTACGAGGTCAATGTGTCGCGTCTGTTTATCAGAAACAGTGTCGTATAATAGAAAATATAATGAACTATAGCCAATCGTCGACCAAAGTTCGGATGAATGAACATGTTTTCACAAAATTAAATTGGCTCGAATACAATTATTGTTTGACGTTGTAAGTGCAATAAATTGTGGAGGTATGATGTTCATACTTAAACTTTTCATTAAAAATTGCAATGTGCTCTACAGTACTATTATGCAATACGTGACCTTAGACTGATTTCAGTTTTTTGGTCTCATGTTCAGAGGGTAACTTATATAATTTTGATATTACCTAGAATAATTACTCTTTCAGGCAAAATTGTACTTGGAAGGATGTGTCTGGGAGAGTGATTTTCAATAACTGGAGAACGATTGTATGTATAGAGAATATAATCATAACAGGGATATCTTTAACATGAAAATGATATTATTGTTGTACCTGCAGGCGTAATCTATCATCTATGTACAACCGTAAGCCTGAGAACCGAATTTTTTAAAAAATCCCCGAGGAAATTTTTCTTGGGGAATAGGCGGACATTAGTTCCATCTTGTGATATTATTTATAATCCATATAACTGGTACACAACCGTTGGCTGAAAAAAAAAAAGAAAGTTTTTTTTCGTTATTACAGGAAGTAGATGTAGGGTGTTAATGAGTTTTTATTAGACATTGTGGTATACGCCCTTCTACATCGCTGCCAGTGTTTAGCGCCAGCGGTATGGTCCGATTCATGAAATCGCATAGACTCATGGTATTTTCACCAATCAAGCATGAAGCCAACAATGGACTTCTTATCAAAGTAAAGTAATGCTTTATCCCGTAGGCAATTCAGCCATATCTTGTCATCAAATAAGTGGCCTGTGCGATCGTTAATTCAACTGGCAGCAAAGAAGATTATGCCACGAGGCTGTAGGTTTCGGTTACTGTTTGTTATCAAACTTTGTATAAGTTTGGATCATATCATCATTTGTTGATCAACTGTTATACAGACTATAGTCAAATAATCAGTTTTTTTATTGACTGGCGGGCTCTAACAGTTAATCTAGTGCGAGGCTTTCAACTTAATATGTTGATTAGTTTTGTCATAGTCCTATACTCAATGACAGCATACCAAAGAGAAATTACTGTAGAACACTCTTGAGACGATTGTAAAAATCGAAAAATAACTGTCAATATTCACCCGAATCATACAGCAGTTGGGTATCCTTGATGGGATTTGAAGCGGCGACAATACCAGCATTTCTTAATCCAATACTTCCTCCACTTCTTTCAAATTTTAGATTGAGTATATTGTGTCCTTCGGCCTAGTAGAAGCACCATGCCGTTGATTAACTAGAAAATCTATCAGTTTATTGATGTATAAATTACGCGCTTTTGAAGATAGCATAGAGACAATGCGAGGAGTTAGATCACTGCCTAAGGTTGCATACAATCATTTGCTTAGCTAAATTCAATCAATTCTCATCACTTCTTTGTCACCTCCTCAGGGGGTAGTATGGATAGTAATATGGAGACATCGTTATTCGTTAACATGTTTAATCACAAATACTTATGTTATTCTTCATGCACTGACCGTCATATAGCTCTGAGTAAACTGACAGCCACATCTCAACAAGCGTTTAGGTTATTACTGGTATTATTCATTGATTTGTCGGTTTGATTCGGTTTCTGCAAATACCGTAATGACTTTTTTAATTGGATTATCGCTTTTTGACATTTAAAGAATTCCCGTTCCCATCAAAATCTGATTCATAATGGTTCACGGAAACAGCAAAGGGGATAATTTCTGGAAGGACTTCATGATTGGGGGAACAGCGGCGGCAGTTTCGAAGACCGCAGTAGCGCCACTTGAACGCGTCAAGCTTCTTCTACAGGTTCAAGATGCTTCCAAGCAGATTGCAAAAGAAAAAATGTACAAAGGTATGCTTATCTAAGATTTACTAATTTTTTTTTAATTTAAAATATTATTATTGCTTTTTAAATGGACGGTGTACCATTGCGCTGTGATTTTTGCCAGAGCAGCTTACCTCAGCTAATGTTGAGTACATGATGTCTATTTTACTATATATTTCCAGGTATGGTCGACTGTTTTATACGTATCCCGAGAGAGCAAGGCGTCCTTTCCTTCTGGCGTGGTAACTGGGCAAATATCATCCGTTACTTCCCAACGCAAGCTCTCTCGTTTGCCTTTAAGGATCGTTATCAAAGGATGTTCTTAACCGGAGTTGACAAGGATAAGCAGTTCTGGAGGTAATTCAAAATATTATTTACTATTTGAGTCTACTTTCTTTTCAATCGGAATATTGAAAATGGTCGAGTCAGATTGCTTTCTAAAGAGCATGTTTGATATATCGGCAAATTGAGCGCCATATTTTACGTTAAAGCTTGTTCTTTTTGTAGGTACTTTGCTGGCCAGTTAGCAGCAGGTGGTGCTGCTGGCGGAACGTCGTTGTGTTTCGTATACCCATTAGATTTTGCCAGAACTCGACTGGGCGTTGACGTGGGAAAATCTGCGTCGGAGCGTGAATTCACTGGTCTATTTAACTGCATGGGCAAGATCTACAAAACAGATGGTTTCCTTGGTCTCTATAGAGGTTTTAACGTATCTTTGCAGGGTATCATTATTTACCGAGCGGCCTACTTTGGCTTATTCGACATGTCAAAACAATATATGCCCAACCCCAAGGACGTGCCAGTTTATATATCGTTTACGATTGCTTTTGTGGTGACAACGACGGCCGAAATTATTGCCTATCCGTTTGATACAGTTCGCCGTCGTCTCATGATGCAGTCTGGTCTTAAGCAGGAAGAGCTGCTTTACAAGGGCACTGTTGACTGCTGGAGCAAGATTGTTAGGAATGAAGGCGCTGCGGCGTTCTTTAAGGGCGCCTTCTCGAACATGGTGCGTGGTGTTGGTTCTGCGCTTGTGCTTGTACTTTATGACGAGTTCAAGAAACTTTTTTAGTTAGTTTAGATAGACAAGATTTCCTAGAAGAAACTTTAAAGTTGAGTATGATGTTACGACTGTATAACTTGTACCAACTTCTAAGGAAAGCCGTTCTAAAGTACTATTTTTCCCCCTACGCGCTAATACTAGAAATACAATTTCGACTTGATCTACAATCATATATGTCTTTTTTTATTTATGGTGAAGTTTCATTGGAATTCAAAATTTATATGTCAGGAGGCGGAAGCATTTAGTACACACAAACGATATTACAAACACGTTTGTGACATTTTTAGTTATTTGTTTTTACGAATCATTTTTATATAAAGTAAGCGGGAATAAATAAAATGGACGCTATGGTCAGTAAATGTGTGTTGTAGCAAATGATTGAATACTAAAAATAAAAAGAGACGCAGTACGTTCACTAACAGTTCAGCTATAACACGTTTCAATTATTACTAAAGGTCAGTTAGCTAACTTTCTTGTTAGGAGTTAAATCAACTTTTCCGATCAGGATCTTATGATGGATACCAGGGCTATCATCATAGGCTATTGTATAGGGAGAGTCTATTTCGGCTAAAAGGTAGTGACGACCTAATTATCGCACGCACATGGCCTTTAGGATCCACAATTTACTGGCTCTTTTCTATGGAGATGCTCGTATAAAGCATATAATGCTCGCGAATACCTATTACATATATATATATATGTTCAAGTTATCAAGTATCTAGTTACTCAACACCATCAATAATCCGTGCTACTATATACATTGTGAAGAGATAAGGAAAAGGTAAGCTAAGGAATGGTCACACAGCTTGAAATAGTATAACACGTAAAAAAGTCTCTCCATCTGCGTGTGCGGGTGAGCCATGTTAGCAACCGCTTTTGATAGGACTTTTAACATACGGGACTATCTAATTAGATTTGTTTGTGATCTTATGGCCCTGCAATTTTGGTCATTCAACAATTAGCACGATAAGCGCGACTGTATTTCTTTTGCTGTTTCACCAGAAAGCTCCTAATCGCTTCGACAGTAATGTGTTGTCAGATCACGCAACTACTCTACTGAATACCTCAACAACAGCAAGTCTCAAGTCTGTATTCTAAATCCTCTTGCGTTCGATCTTCTCGGTCCCATCTTAGTCTCTCTTCATACACGGCGTTGTTATCCAATGTCTCTCTTGTCCACCTTAGTCTTATCATTCAATGTATGTTCTTCACTGAAGTGAATGTGCAAGTGGATAGCATTGTTTCTGCCCGACTCCTACACTTTCATTCGTTTAGCTGGACATTCAGGCGTGTATTATAGGAAACTCTGTGTTCGGTCGAGCCCGCCACACACGCCGCTTGCTGGGTACGTCCTAGGCTTTCGCTTTTTCAAAACGGTAGTATCTCCTTCTTCGTTTCGTTCCTTTCGTTATTAGTGGTGGTGTAGCCGGCTCCGGCGGATGGTATTTTAAGCGATGGGGGATGGCAAAGCAGAGCTAGTGGGTAGCCCTGCGTAGCAATGGAAAACATGTGTATTGCATCACTGCAAAATGACTCTTTTCTTCGGGGCTGCGTGGCGTGGCCGACTTAGGTATCTTTCGTTCGTTGTAGTAGTGCTGGCGGCAGCATTTCGAATAGGAGATTGTGAAACGGACAGGAGCAAAACAGGCTTCGTATCCCTGGATAGCACAGAGAGCGAATAGTGAACGAGAGACAGAAAAGAGTCAAATCTGAGTCACCATACCCAAACAGTCCAAAAGTCGAAAAGGTACCCACAGTAGGTGCTACAGCCACTAGTGCGCATCCCTGCCAATTCAAGTTCAGCTAGTTGTTGAAACAACTGCTAGTATAAGGGAAAAGGAGGTACAAGCTGGCTGCTGGTCCGTATAGGAAGTATAAGCTTCATAGCGCCCTGTCGACCGCTCGCCTGAGTACATACGCAGGGTTTGTTGGGTACATATGGGAGCAACTCGCTCCTCACAGACTCAGCTTGCAAAGAAGCGAGAGCCCTTTGGGTGGAGCATATATATATATATTGAGAGAGAGGAAGAGAGCGGAGGAGCGCAAAAGGCCAAGAGGGTTCTCTTAGCCAGCTAGAAAGGATGTTCTACCAGTGCACACAAAGAGATAGTTGCTGCTGCGCGGATATTTTGACGATGACGGCAGCCGAATAGGAAATGGAGTAGAGTTTCGGATCTGTGTGCGTCACTGTGGGAGTTGTAACTCGAGGTCATGCTTTGGTGTATTACAATGTCACTGTTGTCGATGGCATTCAAAACTGTGTATATGTGTATACGTCTGTTTGCCACAAAATAGGCGCAGAGTAGAGCAGCGCACCAGGGAAAATAAGTTGAAAGACATGTTTTAGGGAATTCGTAGTTTTTTGCCTTAGGCGGAAGCTGTGAGAGGATTAAAGTTCCCAACTGTATTCTAACTAATCCTTGGCGCGTAAAGTTACAACTACTATATACATGTTTGCAAAGGGAATAACAACTTAACTCACAAATTCGGCTTTCATGTTGCTTTTTGGTCAATTGATTGAGTGGTTCATTATTATATAATATTGCTATAGGATATAGCATGGTGCAGTCGCCATACTTTGTCTAACTATAAGCGAATCGTAGAAAACGCAGTATGTTATAGTGAAAGGATCATTCATTTTTCTCCGGCGTCAATTACGACCCTAATATCTCCTTGAAGTCTAATGGATAGCGGTCACAAGTATTACATTTGAGATAAACTTTAATTCGTGTATTACAATCAGGATTTAAAATAATTACAAAAAAGAATCAACGTAACCTATGTTATATGGCATGAAACGAAGACAAGGTTAAAAAAAACTATCAGAATTCCAAGTTTCGCTTAAATTCTTCTTGCGCTGCTTATTACTTGCATTAAAATTACAATGTTGCTTATATAATTTCAAAGTATGCGATATTAAATGGTTCTTTGCAAGCGGATTATAAAATTTGACTTTGGATTTCTAAAATTCGTATTGCTAAGTGAAGTTAGTTGAAAACACCTTATTCTTGCTGTATATATGCGTGTATATTTGTAAGTTCAAGATCATTACCGTAATTAAGTATGTGGCGCATAAGTATGAAAAAAACTAAAGAAAAGGGAAACTACGAATATAAGCAGTCTATACATTAATAACGTGTCTATGTAAACATGTCGTTCATTCGAACAGTTTTTGCGATCTCAGATGATCTGATCGTCTATTCGCTTCTAAAAACTGTTTGTCTGGATATCGAAGGATTCGGTAGGCCGAATTAGCCTGTATGGTCCTCCATCCGTTACAAGATTAACCGATCTTAGTAATTCTAACAGTGTTGGAAAACTGAGGGTATCGCGATCTTTCTCACAGCGTAGCATGATTTTGCGCAAAAATCTATTTCGAACCTTTTGGTAAAATGAATATATTTTTTACGGCCATTACACTTAAGACAGTAAATATACTTGGGTAAGCCGAGACCTTTATAAATTGGACTCTTAACTGGAGTATTGCGCTCTAAAGTGGTATATTTAATTGTGTTTGTAATGTACATTTTAATATTAAAGTTGCGTTTCAGGACCGCGGTCTAAAGTCGCGCGCATTCAGCAACTGGAATTAATAGACCGTTTAGCTTGTTTGGAGTGAAACTATATTTGTACTGCGATACAATATAGAAATAAAGGATGCCCGCTCACTTAATTTCAGCGTAGCTTCCGGATGCAAACGTTGGGATGCAATAATCCGAATACCTAGATCAATAAAGAATTAAACTATAACTTATCGTATGTATATTAGGTGCGATCTACCTATGCTTGTATAGCAGCACAACATTCACCATAGATATACATATAAATGAATATACGGTAATTATATAGGTCTATATCTAGGAAGGCATATAGGCGCGCTTTTAATTTAAAAAACGTATTCATGATCGATAGACTTTAACGTGGATTCTGTATCTAGCTGTAAATTGAAGGCAGAGCCTACGGATAGGATAATAGGAGCGCCCCCTAACCTTGTTATTAGCGAGAACCAGTTCTTTTAACCGCGACCGCAAAAGTGCTAATCAATGCTATCTAAGAAGAGAATTGTGCAACAATTGTTGGCATCTATTGTAGTCATTTTGTTCAGAAAAACACATATTTGTGTTAACCTTTATAAATCCGTTTTTAAAAACGTGTTTCACAGGTAGACTATTAATCGAGATCCTACGGTTGGACTTTATCGAGCAGTTTCTTCTGCTAAAAAGTTACAGACGATTCGTCGTTGTTCGGCCATAAAACCAGACCGTAAATTGTATTCCTCAAGTTCTCTGTATATACTTTATCTGAACGAGACTTCCTTAAAAAATACACATGCATTATGCCATTCTGTAAGTTTTTGCTCGCACGAAATAGCTCTAGCCGCGTAGCTCAACATTACATTCAATGGGATTTAGTACCATGTATAAGCACCAGCGGATAGGTAGTATTTCAAACAAAATCTTTAACAATCTGGCAGTTAGGCGTAGTATATATATAAGCCTACAATAAAGAAGAACACATTTGGCTCTGTATTGAGTGTAACTGACGAAGCCCGAAGTATATAACTGAATATGGTTAGCAAGATCATTTTAACGAGTCCAGGACGAGATTCAACACTTATACATCGAAAGAAAGTACTATTCTGTAATTATTTTGCCTTGATGCATAGCAGTTTCTGCTTTTTTAACGCCTGACGGATCTTCCTTTAGCAATTTTTATGTGACATGTCAAAAAAACAGGATTTCATAGCAACCTGCTTGGAATGCATATCAATAGCAATTTCAACAGAAATACACACAGACATTAAACTTCAGGAATCTCTAGCCAATTTCTACAAGAACATAGATATTTTAATTAGTATTTAGTTACCTAGATATGGTTGTTCAATACGCTGTATAATGAGTACCTGTAATAATGACTTCTCCTTCCTTAGACAGTTTACCGTGAAGTTTTACTTGTTGGTGATATCTTTTTGTAAGAAGGAGCTAATTTCCCAACATCCAGCTCACCCTAAACGTGAACCGATATGTGTTTAGGGAGGAGTCTTGCTCCTTTCGTGCTGTATGTATCTTCTTAATGCAGTAATTGTGCGCTCGTCTAAAAGTAGCGATCTACTCTATCTAGAAGATCTACTTTTGATTGTGGTCATAGTTCCCGCCATAGCAGATGTCACCCGTTAAGAAAGCAACGTTCTCTCTGATTAGATTAATTAACCACATGGTTTACTGGACCGCTGGTCGAACTTAGGGACTATAATATTTGGTACCAACTATCGGCATTTGATTCTACGAGTAGATTTTTATCAATCCTACGTCACATTATGGTAACATATATTATTAACTAACACCTATCAGAAATGCCAGATATTTATACCACTAACGTTAATTAGTTGGTACTTAAAGAAAAGTAGATCATTCTTGCCACGTTTGTAGCTTGGATATCTAGTTGAGCTCACTTGCGAAATTATGCTTGAACAAAGAAAAAGGTTCATTTATTATCTGTAATAAAATGAATATAACATTAATTTTATTACCTTCGGATACTAGTGAAGAGTAAAAGTCATTCGAAACAATAAGCCAAATTGTTGTCTATCTTTTCCATAAACGCATTGAAACCGAAATATCGTTGGAAAAAGATTACTCTTCCGGCTCGAACAGATTTGGCTCATGATCATTGAGGTCATGCTGACTATCACTACATAGTGGCAGGAGAATATAAGGACATTATAAACGGTAGAGGCAATGATCGAGCGGTCTGCCTTCGTACGGTTAAATAAGAGAACAAGCGTTTAGACACCACGAAATCACTGAAGCGCTACAGGCCCAAGGGTAGTGCGCCAACTATTATAGATAGGCTAGAGAATTGTTCAGTGTTGTTGTTGCTTCTCTAGTGTGCTCTATAGAGCCAAGCCACTCGTTGTTCAGAGAGGAAAATTAGATGGTATAGATTTTCCTTGAAGATGTCAAGGAAACCCAGTCCGCTATCTGCCACGTCTGTTGCCTTGCTTGCTTTTGACCACTGCCATGCGCTTTGGACGCCCAGAATTATCAATGAATATCTACTTATATAGTTTAATATGATGTATGTATAAGTGTGAAAAGCAGATTACCTACCTTCTATTAGCGGTTGGTCGCACAAAACCTGTGATGGTCGTACTGGGTATTTCAGTTTTCTAGCTAACTTCGGCATAATTAACATCACACGAGAGTAGATTTGAAGCGGAAACGATTCAACATTGAGTTGCAGTCCGAAGCTGTCGGGAGACTACGATAGGCAAAGGATAGCAAAAAGCCTAGGTGCAGGCGAGTGAAATGCCCGTTTAGGGGCAGAACTATTGAGACATAGGTTAAAGCGTTTCGTTTTGGGTGGTCATGTGGCGGGTCGCTCAAAAGCTAAAGTGTCATGGGGTCAAGAGAAAACGATGGTTGTTGTCTAAATCAGTAGCACCCAGTCACGGCTCATGAAGCTCGGCTTCTATTAATGCGTTTATAGCAAAATAGCTGGATGATACCTGGCTTTAATAATAAACAACGTATCGAATGCTAAAATGTCACCCGCATAGATATCATGGTTTTTTCAGGCGCTAGGCAGTGTAGCCACTCTTAAGAACGGAAGGTTCGGAGGGTCTTGCTAAATATTGCTCAAAGTACGGTCGATTTCTGCCAACTGCCTTGGTTAACTGACTCGAAGCAATTTTTCGTAACGGTACGGATTGGATGAGAATTCTAATTCATCATCCTTAATTTTCCCCTAAAAAACACATAAAATGCAAATATAATTGTGATAAATTGAAAAAATCTTAGCCTTGCAAATATATTTTCCAGTATAATTGTAAATCGATATTAATTGACACTTGAAACTCTTTATAAATATACAGTCCTCGATTTCACTATGTTAGTGCTACATTTAAGAAAAAGAACTAGAACTCTTCAGATTCTGTTATCATCGCGTTAACATTCATGCAAAAAACAGTCATTTTTTTTCCCGATTAACGATTGCTTACACGGATTTTGAACGGTGAAATTGAATCCCACGTAATTTTGTAACAGATCAAGTAAATCACTATGAACTCTACATGTTCTATCAGCTATAACGTGCAGCATTACTCGCACCACATTGCTCGCATCTCTTACAAAGTGTATGAAGCCGAATTCAATCTTGACAAAATACAATAGGCAACACCGAATGACGCATGCTGAGAGTATAGCATAGATAGGTCCGCTTCAGCACATCAAACGGTTGCTGTTTTGGGCACATCGTTGGGCTCAGCAAAGAATGAGAATGGGGGAGAAGCTCATTTTAATAGCGACTAATCGGCTCAACTTCAGCGCGGCCCGCCGCTGGAAGAAGAAACTCTTTGTTTCTAGTTCCTTTCTATTGAATTGCAATATCTTGCAATGCCCCATGGTTCCATGTTGAAGGGGGCAGAAGCTAGAGGTTGGTTGGAAGTTGAGAGGCGGTGTCTGGACGACGGGACTTGTAATGCAAAATTTCCCTCTATATTAACTTTAATCCGCCGCTCACCTTCTGTTCTTCTTTAGCTAATGGCGACTAAGCCGTTGTGTGTTTGGCTCCCCTTATAAACGCTGCGCCCAGTGGCTTCCGCTGTTTTGTTAGCGAAGATCCACTGAGTCATCATACAACCGTGTCTTTGAGACTAGTCCCTGTATAACTGCGACTCGGCAACCTGATCCGCTCACAGATTCTCGCCGGTCGTATGTGGCAAGGGACATCGCAGTTGTCCCAATGGCGCAACGCGTAATGGCAGGTCGCCCGTTCTACGCGGCATGTACAAGTTAATGTGTTAAACATGAGATGTCGGCTGGTGTACAGGTAAACTAATGTTATTTATATCTATGTGGTAACTATCATATTTGCTGGACGTAGTGCAAAACGTATAAACGGGAGAAGTATCGTAACAATAAAAATTGTACCGATGAATATAATGAAATAAAATTTTCAAATAGTAAGGAAGAAGTTAAAAATTTGATATACAAACATTTGGCTTACTCATGTGTATCCCGAGCAGATTTGGCTGCTACATTGTGGGCCGTAGAATCCGATTTCCTCGGACGAGACGCACAGTGTCGTTTGCTTGCCCCCCACCTTTAACGAGAATAGAAAAACGGAAGGCCGGAGTGTTTGGCTTTTGTCGGGTTCTTCGCAGTCATCCGCCCTTCTTGGAGGTGTCTACTTCGTGATGATGTTGTTCCTCGTGGACAACATGAGATACCAAGGCTCTTTTTCGTCTCATCGCTCATCTGTCGCCGCGTGCATCTGCGCTAAAACTCAGCGTCATGCCCACCTCACACATCTTCAGGCAAACAAGCGAATTAATGGCAAAATTCTGTTAGCGGTACGAAACTCGATAAAATGTAAGGACAGTAGCGAAGATGTGCAGATGCTGCAAAAAGCCGAAATATAGGCGTAGAGACTGAGAGACACGTGACCTTACACGCGACTCGTGATGCCGAGCGCACTCGTCCGACGCATAACGGACTGAACACTTCATGGACACTGCGGGACTTCACAAGACTCAACTCCCCCGAAGTGCACTTTGTCAGAACAGTGAGGTGGGCACTTGGCAGCGAAAACTCTCCGACTCGTTGATGAGCAGGATGTCGAAGTAGGAGTGATTCGGGCAGTTAGAGGCACGAAACGTAAGAGTTGAAGCTTGGAAAGTGGCTTTGCCGGGAGTGTTCACTGGCCAGGTAGCGGGCAGTTAAGTTGTCCATCAGGGGACCAAGATCATCTCTAAATATGCCTGGTGATCATAAAAGGTGAAGAATAAAATGAGTCATCGTATAAAAAAGCAAAAATAATTGTGTTACGAACTTTTCGATGTTTATATTAGTAACATGAATTTTGTACAACTCATGTCCAGAGCATTGCATCTACTAGGTGGATTATTCCTAATCACACACAATCCAGCAACACCAGCTTTCCCTTAACGCTGATGTTACAACAGATATTTAATGCCATTTCCTAATTCTTGCAGAATCGTGGGCGAGCATAGGAGGCCATAATGACACTCGGCGAATATATTAACGTCTTCAGATGTGAAAACTTTACAATTAGTTCCGTTTGTGGTTATTCTGAAAACAGAATGGGAGGACATCTTAGTTAATCGTAACTCTCATTGAAGATCAAGGACGTGGATCGACAGAAGATCTATAGAGTAGCGACCCAACTGAAGTAAACTGGATTGAGAGAATAGATCACGAAGTAACCTAATCAAATAAGAAACGATACATAAAAAACGAGTAGTTTTTTCTTTTACATTTTGATGCAGTAAATTTTGCGAATAGACTAATTAAATAAATCTAATCTTTATGGTTAAATGTTTTAAGCGACAACTAGTAAAAATATGCGCACCCACTATCATTAGTGTGACACGTACAACGAAAACCCGTTTAACTGTCCACAGATCTTAAAATATCGAATTTTTTCTCGCCAACGAGGTACATCACGAGACCGTCAATAGCCAGTAGCAAGTGTAGTAACAAGAAATTGCAAACGAAGCTCTTGGCGGAAATTTATGAGGAAATTCAATGACTCGAAAGATTATTTGCTTTTGCTGTTACCATTTGTGGTTTTATGCCCGTATTCCTAAAAAAATGGCTCCCCTTGTAGACAGCGTCGTATAACGTTTCAGCACATCCATGCTTACTTCGTTTGTGCAAGACTTTATAATAATATGATATTGATATGATATTTTTTTCAATGATTTTCCAATTATAAATTAACTCATTTTGCTTAGCATGCCGGTTGCATGCTCTACATTTCGCATTAGCGACTCCGTGCTTCTTAGAGTATAGCAAAGCGCAGTGCACTACCATTTCCGAAAATCTCAAATTAACTGTAATATCTACAAATGTTGTCATCGTCGATGGCTATGCCAAACGGCAAGAGGGTTCCCGCGTACCCATAGTTGCCTCCACCAAAAAAACGGCCTATGTATTTGACTATGACGACGAGCGGCAAGCGGCCACAATGGGACGGGCTAAGCTGTGTGAAGATATGGAAAGGTCGTCTAGGATCGGTCAACCTTGGCTCTGTTCTTGGCTGCTAGTGACTGCCGCCGACAGGCCAGCCACCGTCAACTGGCTCTACTTCCGCCCCCGTTCTATTTTATGTCGTGCTACTACAGCTAGTGGCCCCAGTTGGACTAGACCAGGATAGGCCGCACACAACATCAGCGGCCGTGCTGCAGCGGAGATCATGGACAGGGGAAAAATAATATTGTCGAACGATCCCCGCGTCTCTCCGCGAACCGTTTCACCGCGCAGAACATAGTAAATGATGCACGATAGAAACAGGCGTGACGAGGTGACGACTGTCGCAGCAACACGGGGACGGCTGGCAGCGATGATGATGATGATGACAATAACGACGATGCCGGTTGTGCTGATGGTCGGCGCGGTGGGTGGGGTAGTGCAACAGTCGAAGTCGCGCTGGCTTCGCTACCAGCGGCACATAGCACGCGTCGGATAAAACGTCTCGTTAACTAGTGATGTGATAGCCAAAGGAAGGAAATGAGGACGGCTGGAGCGATAATAGCAAATGTCAGTTGAAGGGGGACGCCAGCGACAGCTATAGACTTTGATGTCAAGGGGCCACCAGACGATCTGGAAAAATATGGGAAAACGGTCGAAGGAAAGTTTAGGATATTTCGGGGCTCCAAGTTCAAGGTTTGGTCAAGTTAAATATTCACCCAGATGTTGTTGTGGGTGAATTATCGGCACCCTGGATGGCCGACGGCGACGTTCATGACGACCATAGGGTGCTTTTGTCCGCGTTGATACTTTGATCGTCGTTGTTCGTCGGATTTTTTTTAAGGGTCAAATCACTCAGTAAATTAGATCACTTAGATACCGGGAATACCTGAAAGACATCCCTGACTCACGATTACAACGGCCGCCGTGAGCAGTCCTGACCGATACAGTCGAGATAGCAGGTAAAAGAGAAGTGAATTTACAATTAATTTATCTATTATTTCATGGCGCTAACGTTTGCGTCCTCAACAAAGCCAACGTGCTGAACAGCCGTAATAAGTGCTCTTCTTAGCTGTACCATGTTAGTCACACGAATGCTGTAACAGAGGCATGAAATGGGGATAGCTTGGCCAGTAACGTATTTGCGTGCTGATCCTAGGGACACGTTGTTCTCTAGGCTCGAACCCTGGCGTAGATACATGTCGTTTCGTGCTGGAAGCCAGCCATCTGATGGGATGCCTAACGGTGATACCGGACGTAAGACTCGACACGTAGAGGCACGACACGGGTAATAATCATCGCAGGCTGAATATCGCCGCTGAGAGTTTCAAGGGCTTACAGAAAAATACGCCAGATAGTGAAATTAGCAGAACTCTACTTGCGCTGGCTGAAAGCTGCACATTTTTACCCATTGTACATCTTTGTACAACGTTGTTGTTGCATGTTAGGAACCTATACTGCTCAGGTCCTGCTGGATGGTTTGAGTTCCTGTCACGCGTACTCACCTCCTTGCTCGCTACTTCATTGTGCTGTTTTCTCCTGTCTTTAAAATGATGCAGAAGAACATGTTGGATAAAGTACGCGGAACAAGGTCCATCACCTCCGCTGGTTTAGCCGCCCTTTGAGCGAGTAAAGGGCAGGAGACGATGCTACAGGAGGAAGCCCGCCCTCTTGTTCAGGTAGTAAAGTATGGCTGAAAAGGAAACGTCAAAGAAAAGGTAAGCAAAATGCGCTACGTATCTACGTTGTAGTATACCTTCAAGTGTTATGTGTGTGTGCTATACCTACAGAGTTTAAGGAGTGAAGCCATTGTTCCTTGCCGGTACCGAACATTTTTTTGTTATTGGCAGACATTGTTGTTGATAACAGGCGAAAGAGAAACTTGCCTTTCGACGCTTGATACTCCAGCTGCTTCCTTACTTCGATTGTGTTCGCCCTAGCATGGTATCGTACGATATGGCATGACTAAAGCGGAAATTGCAAACATGCACCTGAATCTAAATTAGCGGTAATCGTCATAGAAAAATTTCAACATGCAGAACCGAAATGTACATAGAAATCAAATCGCTCCTATTCGATATAGAATTTGGAAAGAGCGCAGATTAAATGTGTTTAATAATAGGCGTTCTGGAACTATGTGTCGCGATTCTTCCTTTCTTTTTAAATGCCATAGAGGGTGAAAATTGTATAGCTCTCTAGAACTACAGAGGAATAAACAAGTTAGCACAAGTAGTTTAAAGATTCATAGCGCAGTTTATTTTATACCGTGCTCTATAGATTTAAACGTGTTTCTCGAGAAGGGAGCTCTTTGTACTAATAAGAACTATCAGACTGCCTACACCCCATTGGCTCTTCGATAGTTTTCTGAAATGAGCTAATTACATTAATGGAAAAAATACATTTATGTACTTAGTACGGTCACTAAGCAAGTTGAGCTGCCATATGTATTTATTCCTAGCACATCTTTGGAGCTATAAAATAAGTAATCTTATTATGATTATTATTCTCTTGACAGTACTCAATCAAGTGTTTACGTGAGCTTACGTACACGTAGTTACGTACAATACGTGAGCTCGACAACTTGCGATTACTTGTACCGTCTATTTGCTGCTACAGCGCTTACATTTTAATTGAGCTAGTTAGCTAGTGGCATTCTTCTCAGTGTTCGAATTATAAAACTAAAGGATAGCATAGTCGACTCGGCTTCCTACACGCTTCGCCACATATACGGTAGGTAGGGAGTCTCTCTCTATGGGATAAAAATGGGAATTTTCGTAATAGGCTCCAGCGGAAGACCCATGCAGGACGCAAAGTTCAATAGAATCTGAACGAAATGTTTTTCTACGAGGTAGTCAAGTATGAGCAAGAACGAAAGGATTTTAAGGAAACGGTAAGAGCAAATGCGCTACGTACCTACTCTGGAGCATACCCTAAGGCATTATGGGTGTGCACCGTTAAACATAATGTTGTAGACTATAATTCAAGTTATCAAATTGACGTATATATATATATATATATTTGTGATTTCATTTATTTACTCTATTGTTGACATTCCTATTCTATTTTAAAAATACTCAACCATTATTATTATCTGTATACATGGCGCCTAGCGAAGGTGACAATAAATAACAAGACAGTGCAGAAAAAATGCATTAGACAATTTTGTTTGACAGCATTTGCCTTCCCTAGTAATTCGGAAAGTTTTGACAGACCCATTAGCCCAAATGTAGTGTCACAACTGTCCATATCCGTGCAATATGGCCCAGTAAAATTCAAAACAAGAAATACGAGTCCCAAAATAGCCATATCAATTGACCGTATCTATAGATGTTTACTTTTCTTGTTGAGCTAGCATTGCAAAACGCCTCCCTTTTGTATCTGACAATCGCCAGCTGTTCGTTACATTAACAATGCCTTTCCTCAAATCGACATATCCAATATGATTGTGTTCACTAGGCACCTGAGAAGTTCACTGTGTACTGCCCGCATTATTTCATATTTAAATATTTGATTTAACTTAACATCCAATTTATCACACCAAACACAACTTACGAGATGAAGTTTTATCTCTACAAAATTGACAGTACGAGTGATTGGCATCAAGGCGATAAATAACATTTAGGACCATGCAGATATCAGCACTCAGCTTTGTCCCAAAATATCGCCAGGGGCCAAATCAACATCTTATTTGATTGCATCTTTAAGGGGGCAAATAATACTTATCATATTTTCCCAAAAGGTTCTGATTGATTGTATGAGGGGTTGTAGTGATATGTGTATTCTAAAAATAAGTAATGTGCTATCTAGCTGCATACCTGACTCGATGTAACTATGTGTGAATTTATTTTCACGTTTGGCCACAGTTGAACGATAGGAAACGAGGCTAAATTTTGCACACAGTCTGTCGTTAATTAACTTTTACGGATCCCTGAGTTCAACACACAAACAGAACGATATAGAATACACAAAACTACGGAGATTAATCAAGGTCGACACGTGTCGAAGTGACACGGTTGCAGACGTAACCACTACCTCTATGCCCCGAAGAGATGGTTTCCCCATTATCTGACGAGAAGCTGTATGTGTACACAGTATAAAGTCGTCCCACATTAATTTTCTCTTTTCGATAGAATTGACGAGACATATGTAGAATTCAGTTGTGCTAAAGTAAAGTCCTTTCTTTTCCTCGAATTTGAAGTTTTACTCTCACAAAGCTAATTCTTTTTGGTTGAAGAGCGGTCCTCCTCGAGGAGCCTCAAAAAAGAATCAAGCGTGATAAAGCCCACACCTCCGAATTTCTTGACAGTCTGCCTAGGATTATTAAAAATAATACTGGCAGAATGGATGAGGCGAACACTCTCGGAAAGGTTATGCCATACTCTCTGATGAGCGCTCCGAAGTGTAAGCACCGTTGCTCGGAAATTTCATCTCAAACTCGCCATCACTACTTGGCAGGAGCACAGAAAAGCCACATCTGTAATTTTAGACTGAAGTTAAACATACTCGAAAGGAGAAACGCTTTCACCACACTCTGCTCCGCAGCCATTTTCAATTTTATAACGTAAGTCACCGAAAACCTAAGTCGTACTACAAAGACAATCTATTTTGAAAAACAACGATGTTAGCGTCTAAAAGTGTACGGCATCATTCGTGATAAATCTGTAGTACAAATTCAAATCCATAGCGTAGTCGACGCTAACCTTAAAGAGGCTCAAGAAGTTTTCGGTCCTATACGCCATCCAACTGCGAAAAAAAAAAAAACAGCATAGACCTGGAGAACTTTATCTTTCGTGTTGTTATCCCTACAAGACTTGCGATCTGTCGGAACGAATAGGGAATCTGAGTGACGTTGGCAAGAAGCCGAGGCAGCAAACTGCAGATATAGAAGTCAGAATGAATTCGGCGACATGGCATCAGAATAAACTCGATGTTAAGTAAGAAATCAGAAAGAAGCCGTCCTTAGGGTCGTCCCATTAAAAATGCACGCTCTGATGGAATGGTATATATGCGCTTTTGGCGGTTGAAGTAAAGATTTTTACATCAGTACAAAAGATAAATTAAGTTGCAAAAAACACTCGATAGTACATTCGAATAATTATGTCCACAGAAGGACATATGATCTTGGTACCAAAGTTGACGATCGTGTCAATCAACACGAATATACGAAGTAAACTGTGTTAGTCCCAGCTGTAGAGTGAGTCGGTGTCCTCTTGTTGGTATGGTGTTAACCCTTAGTCTAGAATTTCCAATTCATATTAGCTACACCCGTTAGTAATGCCGATTCTCAGTGTTTCATAGTGAAGAGACCTAATTCTGGAAAGCCTTAATATGCTAAGACCTTTATATCGTTCAGAAGTATGAGAAGCCTTCGCAATTAGTGAAAAATACATAGCAAATGCAAGCCACAGAAATGGGTACCTGGAAGATGCGGGGTGCGCCGCTCATCAATTGCACAATTGAGCAGATTGCAAATAAGTATCACAAGTTGTGCAAAGTAGGACGCATAGTATATGCATAAACAACGTTAGTAGCTGTCGTGAGTAGGACGGAGTGTATAAACGAGGATCCTTTACCGCATGATATTGAGCCCATTACAATAGTCGAAACTGTATTATTAAAATAAAAAAGAAAAAAAAATAGATGTATTTATTAGGCTAGTAATAGTTGTGTATTGTGAGCGCAATTTAAACTGGAAAGAATTCAAATGTGGGTGTTCTGAATCGAAAAAAATAAATTTTTGACGTAATTTGCACTATGCATTTCGTCAAGGCCAAGGAACTGGCGAAACAGCCTAGGACATTCGCCTTATATAAGGTAATGATGCTATCGCACAGAGCACTACTCGAGAGTGGTTTGCCAAACTCGAAAACGGTATCCGAAACCCAGAGGATGCTTACCCCTCTGGCCGAAAACCTCACTTTGATTCACCATCTGAAGTCACCCTTGAAAGCAGACGACCGATAAAGAATCTGGTAATTAGCCGAAAAGATGGCCTGCGGTCGTTAATCATCTCCCTTCGGTATATACAGCGACTTGGGTGCATCATGACCTTCGCGAATTCAACAAGGTTATTATGGTTAAACTCCGCACTCTAACACTTTGTCCGGTGTCAAGCAGCCTCAATGACCGATTTTTTTACATAAACGTTACGGGCAATGAAAAGTGGTGTCTGTACGTCAGCATGAACCAGAAATCGGAATGGATAGCTCTACCAATAAAATTCAAGGCCCAGGCTTATCCAGGTCCTCAGCCAGAAAAGACTCTACGTTTGGTGGGACTACGAGAGCTTGATTTAGTGGAAAACATTATCGTACAAATCAGGCAATTGATCTCTATATATGTAATATTTGTGCCAGCTGCATCAAATCTGCAAAGTTGTTCAGGAGATAAGATCCAACAAACGAGGTCATGCCATTCTGTTCTACGATTACGCGAGGCCACACACGAACGGGAGGTTTTCCTTCCTATTCTTCGGATCATGCACTAATGAACCTTTTTCCGCAAGTTTAACCGTGAAAGGTATCTTAATCCTTTTTATAATACGTATTGATTTTCCTCTATGTAATGAATTTTTATTTCGCTAGACCAAGTTTACTTCTTTGCAGTGACTGTACTAGTGAATCTTATTTCTAATGATAAATGCAACAATTTTCATTGTGCAAATCATCTTCTCGTGCTGAATATTAAATATACACGTAGGTTTATAAAAAAAAAACAACACTGATTGTGTACTACTGAGCCGCTTAAAAACTTTTTATTTAAAAAAAACAATTTTATGGTGTCATTATTATTATGATTATATCTAGTAAAATAGGTATCAGCTTTTTGATAATTACAATGTCGTAGTTTATTAGACGTCAATCTAATTGATCGCATTTGCTATTTTTTTACTCTATAGAAGTAAATCGCAAGTATATGCTACGTCCGTAAATAAATCTTCAGCGAAAGGTATGATGTTGCGCCGATAGCAATACATAACCCGGATAATACCTATCATTGTATAGTATACAATACCAAACTTACCCTTCAAGCAAGTCTAAATAAAATCAATTAAAAATCGGATAATCTAATTGGACAGCGCAAACTGAGGTCAATTGGTTTTGTCAACAATGTATTTATGTACAATAAAAAAAACAGTAGAGCAATGCTTGTGAAGTGAAAACAAGTCTACTATATCTTCATGTACATAAAACGCGAAACCTTCTACGACGATGCCCACATCGTCTTACATCCGCAATGAAATATAGTTGGTATGGCCGAAACGTAAACAAAGCTATGTTACTTTTGTCAGTTATTATTAAACTTTTATTTTTTTTTTAATTTATTTAAAATTAAATATTAAACACGATCCTAGTACGCGATGGTAGTCAATTAAGAAACTAGAGCAAAACCATGGTACTGCACGGACGAAAGCGCTCGCACTCAAGCTTCAACCGCTTCCACTATCAGCGCCTCAGTTTTCGCGCCCTACCTATTACTGTTACAGCTGCTGTTTGGCAGGCAATTGAATATCATCGCGAACCCGACGATCACTAACCCTTACAGCGAACGGTGGGCGTCTATAGAGTACCACCGCTTTTATTAGCGTGCTATGTGGAAGTCCGTACGTTTGTAGCGCTGCCGTTACACGGTGGCGCTTTCCTAAACTTAACTCGCTCTCTTCCCTCCTTGTATTTATTTTCCTCCTTTCTCGCGCATGATAGTGACCGTTATAAAACAATAGTGGACGGTTTGGTTCTGCCGCTCCTGGCCAGTGCGGGAACATAAATGTGCATCTACTAGTGGGCGCGAGAGCCCGGGAGCTCTGCCTGTTTGGCGAGTTCTCTGTGAGTTGCGCACGCCGACCTCCCCCCCGATCCTGGCCAACCCAACGACGGACTGACTAAGCAAGCCAGCAAGCTAGTATTTATGGCCATATAAACCTACAGATGGGTCGTCTCTGCTTTCACCCCAGGATCCGCACGGGCACAACACCTGGGTCCCTGGTCGCCCATAACGGATGCTCCGCTGAATCGACTCAACATCGGACACACACGTAGATCTTCACATACCAGGTACAGACAAGGAGCACATAGAAATCTATCTATCGGGTATGGCACGCCTTCGCTCAGTCTGGTCTCGCCGTGGTAATGGTAGCGAAGAGTATGTCTATGAAGCTCTTGAACCTCGTATTGTTTCTTCCAGGTTGATTCAACCTAAAACGGCCAAGATAGCAGCAATGCTCGAATCGCCTGCGTAGGACGCGAAAGAAGGTGGATCTTGTCCTAAAGTGTTGTCTTGTCCCTGTTATCCTTCTTGTCCTCTCACTGTTGGACGCCATCGCTTTTTGGCGTTCACCATCGGTGCGATGTAGTACGGGCGTCCGAAGTACTTCTACTCGTTTATACAGTATACAGACATACTCTTGGCTGTGGGAATGACGGGAGTGGAGGAATACCCGGGAAGCCAGACAAAGGACAATAGCAGGAGCAGAACAATCTAGCGGCAATCCTCGGATAGTTGGTGTAATCCTGACGAATCACCGTAGAATCTCCCCGCCTTCCGATTACCGTGCAGACAGGAAGATAGCCCCTTCAATGTGATCTCGGAGCGCATACTTTCAGACAATCTGACCACACCGATTGGTGGGCAGGCCAACGGGGCCGCAAAAAGACATGCAAGCAGGTTGTAATCTACAATTTTCAAATTGCAGACAGGGAAACAGCCTCTTAATTGGACTATAAATTTTGTTTCAGAGCCAGCATTGTGGTAGGGTACAGTACGTTGGCAAGAGTAAATCACAAGGTGAACCGAATTAATAACAAAAAGATCATTAAAAAATTCTAGTGTTCGAAAAGATTAGATGACTTTGCTACTAAAATGACCTATTTACTTCGCTATTGCTAATTTATCTTTTCTACGTATATGGTCAGTACAACTTCAACGGTTATACGCAGCGTAAACCAGGGATACTACTGGGATTTTCAGTTAGGGATAAATTTTTTTTTGCATGTGTAAAAAGGTAGAACGGATTGTTATTGATCAAGCAAATTGGTCCAGTTTGAATTAGAGAAAAGGTATTAGAGGTTCGGCATCAGCTAAGTATGAGCTTTTTAACTCAAGTACTGCTTGGGTTTAATACTTAACGATATTAGATAGTTTTAGATGAACCGATTTCATAAACACTACTCAAACTGTCGGCAAAGTTCGCTGGAGATTTCTAAGCTGGATAATACACTAGTTCTTTCTGGAATACCACATTCTAAATTATGATGCCTGTCGATGGTGGACATATTTATATAGAATGACTGAGAAGACACATGCGTGAAACAGTTAAGGCGTGCCGTTTCTAAACAAAATTTTATTTTCCGCAATAATCGTGTACCGTTAGATATTATCACTAGTTTTTGCTATGGTTGAAGGGCCCGACGTACAAAAAAGATTACCACATTTGCCAGGAGGTTTCGCAGTAGGCGGAAAGCTATAATCGCTACCTCCTGGGAAAGGATTCGTCTCCTTACGTTCTGCTCTGCAGGGATATGTCGTGTCCTGACTTAAAAGAAGAATGAGTGCGATTCTATGATGTAGTGCTGTAAGGCAGTTTAGGGGCGTCTCCGAAACTGGTAGGAAGCGACGGAAGTTGAGTAAATGGTGTCCAGGAAAGACTGCTGGGGGAACTAAGTTTGTTGATTTCGTCCATTTATTATCTTTTAGTTCATGCAGCGAGGGACGACAAAGTGAGTTGCCCGCCAGCACTTAGACTCACCACAGTTTCACGCTTACGTCCACGCACTTCATAGATACACGTACATGCAGAGGGAGAAACATGCACTTGCATCGAGGCAGAGATACATTTACCCGCTGAAGACAGCCTGAACTCTTTCCGCAAGTTTTCAAAATCCACGTTCGCCAAGCGCTCGCTTGCTTGACTGCTGTCGTCGTTGGTCTGGTCGCGCCAATACGAGCACCGGAAGTACCGGATGTAGTTGGTGACGCTAGCGGAGCCAGGTAGCAGCAGCAGCAGCATCAGTACACTGCCTCACGTCTATAGCTGCTACTGTCGCGCTTTACTATCTGATTCGTTGTCATCGTGATATTCACTGGCTCGTCCGGCGCCGCGGGGCCGAATGGATTGTGGTGTTGTGCCGCCGTCGCTGCCGCCCTGCTTATTCCGATCCAGGCCCAGACAACAACTGGGAGTGATCATGTCCTCATTAAGCGGTGGCAACGCTTGGGACAAAGTGGTGGACACCTAAAGCCCTCGCAGTCCGTTGAACCCGTCTTCATGCGTGTAGGTTCATTGGTAGCGGCATAGTGACGAGAGAGGAGCGACCAGCGGCGACTCATCCAGGCTTTTCCTGGATAAGGTCTCCTGAGAGTCGAAACTGTGCACTGCAGAACACAGGGAATCTC